ACTGGAATTTGAACTCAGATCTCTTGGTTCCCAAAACATACTGCCTCGATACTTACTCCAACCACTTTTGTGGGAGAGAGGATGAGGGTGTTACGTGAGTTGGAAACTTCCAGATTTCAAATATTCCAATAAGGATTGAGCCTTGAGGATTTTTCCCCAGGTTCTTCAACAGCTTTCCTATGCCCACGGGAATATCACTCTTTGAGAGGTGTTTTTTAAATATTTTTCATCTGTTTTTAATATTTCCCACTAATTTTGGATTGTGAGGTAGAGGGAGGAGATGGGCTAGGCGGGAAGGAACAGGTCTGAGCACCTGAGGAGCAAAAACCCAAACAGCAAAAGCCAGAGTTCAGTCCCCCACCCCTCTGTGGACTGTGGGATCAGGCCCCGCATGAGCGTGTTTTTCTGTGCGCTGGGTAATTCTGTTGTACAAACAGTTGAGAACCAGGGGGCCAGAAAAGTGGAAACCAGAGAAGGCTTATGTTCTCCTGTTTTGTTTTAACCGTTTTTAAATGCACAATTTAGTGACATTAATTCCATTCGCAGCATTGTGCAGCCATCACTACTGTCGAATTCCAAACCTTTTTCATCATCCCAAACAGAAACTCAGTTCCCGTTAAGCAGTAACGCCCCGTTCCTCCCTCCCTCCAGCCGATGGCAACAACTGATCTACTTCGTGTCTGTGCACTTGCCTATTCTAGATAAGTGATATCATGCAGTATTGATCCTTTGGTGTCTGTATTGTTTCACTCAGCGTGTTCTCAAGGTTCATCCACGCTGTAGAATGTATCAGAACTTCATTTCTCTTTATGGCTGCGTAATAGTCCATTGTGCACATGTGCCACATTTTGTTTATCCATTCATCCGTTGATGGATGTTTGGGGTTCCACCTTCTAGCTATTGTGAATAGTGCTGCGATAAACATTGGTGTGAGGCTTGTTTTTTTAATCTCCTCCTGCTGTTCATGACATATATTCTCACCAGATGGCAGTACTGAGCTACCATTACTGTATTAATAGTAAACCTTGGTTGTTTTTAAGGTGTTCGCTTTATTTG